AAAAGCAAATGAATCTTATATTTAGTACACAAATTTTAAAACACAAAAAATCATAAGTTACAAAATTTTTTTTAAAAAAAACCTGATCGAAGTTTAAAACATTTACAAAACTATTCTACTTTTGTTCAAATACTGTCAGCGTGCCTGTAATCAAAATTAATATTCAAAAAAGAATCCTGTAAATAAACCATTGAAGCAATTGCTTTTAACACATTTTATTTGACTTTATTGTAGTAAGCTCTTTATGTATAAATTACTGTTTTTCTTATCTATCATCAAGGGTAAATAACATATACAAACTTTCTTTTATCTATCTAAATCAGCATTTTTTCTCACATATCTTTATTTACAATTCTAACCTGAACAATATTTGGCAAGTATAGTGGAGGATTTTTTTTAAAAAAGATTTAGTCATGATGTAAAAACGTTGTGCAAATATTAATAGAATTATATAAAAGGCGACAAAAATTCACATGTCAAAGCACCCATTATTTTACTTAGTTATTATTCCTGTCATTTCTTATTAAAACCAGTCAAGAAAATATCAATCTAAGCATAAAATAGTTGTCGGTCGTTCATCCTTCTAGCTGTCTTTCTGTCCGTTCCTCCGTCCGTCTGTAAACTTTTCAAAGTTTTAATTCCTTCTCAAAAAATACTGGGCCAATATTAACTAAAATTGGTACAAAGCACCTTCATTTTGACAATTTAAAATTTCTTCTATACCAAAGGTCCTTTGTACAGATTCTAGTTAATATCGGTCGAAAATTTATTTCATAAATCAATTCTAAAATTGTACCTAAATTTTTTAACCTGTCATTTCTGTCATTTTTAAGTTTTAGATGAAATGGCCCCTGTAAAAGAAGCCCGATACAAACAATGCGCAAATCCATGGATCACTCGAAAATTCCAGATCCAATCAGTGAAAGAGACCAGGTTTTGTATCAACACAGGAAATCCCGGGAAAAGATAATTATACACTTTTAACAAGCTAAGAAATAATGCACCAAGAGAAATAAGAAAAGTAAGATATCTGAACACCCCCCCCCCAAAAAAAAACTGAAGAAAATATGAACAAGTCCTGTGTTTTGTTCAGTTTTCTGGGTACAGCACTTTTGTTAAACTTCTCAAAGGTCGATAACATTCTTAATAACTCGGCCATTTTCGGAGAGAAAAACATCGTTCACGAAAATAGCCGAATGGTTACAATTGGGGCCGACAAGAATTTCCGCGGCTCGGATATACACTGATAAATGTTTGTTCGTACAAGGAACTACCATAATGAAACAAATCTAGTTTGATTCAGCTTCAGAGATAGTTCTGGTGAAAATTCTAATTTCTACTTTTCTTAAATCTTCTAAGAAGGAAAATCAAGAGCTATTGACATATTTGTATTGTGTAGGCGGAACACCGATGCATGCCAACAGCCATTATGCAATCGATTGTGCAGTTGACTAATAAGAAAAATCAATGCAATTAACAAACCCGAGGACAAATGGCGACGTAATTGTTGGAAGTTTAGATTTAAGCTTTGTTATAGTCAGGTAAAATTTTATGAATTATTTTATACATGGTTGCTAAGAATGTTTCATTTATCTGTGGATTTGAAATATTATGTCTACTTTTGGTTTATCCTTACATGTAGTAAACTACAATTCGTTTGATTTGAAATATGGGTTGAATGAAAAGATAAAAATAACACACAGTGATCGAACTAAAACAAGGGGCCCTTTGGGGTCACCTGAGTACGTGTAATACAACATTGTAAAGGATGAAGGATGTGGAAATAACGAACAGTATTCAATCTCAAAGTCCATTAGACAATACTAAATAGGAGCAGAGCAAACACGGACCTCCGAAACATCAGAGGTGCCACAGAAAACAAAGAATAATTTAATACTGATATGTAAAGATATATTGCATTTCAGCAAAAGAATTTAAGATTATTAGAGTGCAACAAAATATAATTATGTCTATATGGTGTTGTCCTGCAGTATTTAATGATAAAGAATATCTATTTTAACACGATAACCATACCGGCTACACATTAAAAAATATATCATGGGTCACAGAATTAAGAAAGGGCATTTTCACTATCAAACCAATAAAATCATACCCTATCACAAGAACTCCTGGTCAAGGAATAGTGAATTACACCATTTTGGAAAAATAAACTCTTGCTTCTCATTCATATTTATATCTTGTTTAATAAATGCATTGGAGCAGAAAAGGAATTTTCAAAGAACTAATGCATTTTTACATTATACTCAACAGAGCTACAGACTTAACAGCAGAACCCTTAACCAGGGTTCATGAATTTCATAACTGTGCCTCTGAAAATATTTGTATCAATAAGAACTCATTCGGGGAATATGTCGCAGTTTCAATATTTGTAAATTATCTCGAATAAATCGGCTAAATATCATAATCAAAAATCATCTATCTTTTGTTTAGAATCGTTGAAAATCTAAGAAAAAAATGGAACAGTTATACAAAAAATATAAATTTGTCTCAGTTGACAAAATAGATAATATCGCCTTTGTATGTTTGACTCATTATTTTAATCGATATCGTTTCTCAGAAGAACAAGGATTTTATTCTGCAACTGGTACTCCAATCTTATTTATACACATACATTCCTTTTCTTCATAGGAAATAATATAAAGTCATATGTCATCTATAAAAAGTTAAATGTTACCAAGAAGCAAAATAATTTTTAACTAACTGTACCAAATCTGGATTCCTAAAGTCTATTAAAATCAACTAAAGGTCGATTCTTACTCAACAGCGATAAAATCTGCTGTTTAATTCTAAAAAAAAAATATAGAATTTGTGAAATTGACTTACCTTGTCATTGCTCATTTGCGATATTGTTTTGTTAAAACATATTCTGATTGTTAACATAAGTACTTTGAAGTTGATACTTAAAAGATACTTAAATTTCTGATTGACAATATTCTTGTAGCATTTGTAGATAAAGTCCTCCAACGATCAGTTGGAATTTCCATAGTTAACCATTTTACCCGTTAATTTGCAGACCTATTTCTTGCATTCAAAAAAGAGTTACTTCAAAAACAGATAAAAATATATCAAAAATATTTAAAAAAAACCTTTATGGACTTCAATGAAGAAGGCAAGAATAACAGACATTGATGTATTTTAAAAATTCTAAACAATAAAAAAAAAACAATGAAGAGGACTTAGGTAGAATCAGGTGCCTAGGAAGAGTCAAAATCTCCTGTCGACCTTAAAGGGATCCACACAGTTTCATCTAAATATTTCAAATTCATTTCAAATTCATTTTTCCAATTTTACAAATATTCAATTACGGTCTATCTAATGTGCATAAAAAATTTAAATGGCTGTTGTCGAGATACAAGACAGAATTAGAGCTCTAAAACTTCGTTATGTAAACAGTGTCCATGTCATGTTTTTGATTATTGGTTAATATACCAAAATATCTTCGTTCAAGGCAGATCATTTCAATAAAGAAGTTAATTCTTAATACAATTAAATGGTTTCCAGTGATTTGCTGAATTTCATTTTGTGAAAATATTCTATCTGTAAACAAAAAAACAAGGCACGAACCTTGTTTACATTATGAAGAACTCCTTGTTCTGTATTATGAGGAACTTTCAGTTCTGTATCTCGTTTGTTAATTAACGAATAATGTTGATTATTTTTTGTTGATCAATAGATGATGCCTTAGTTTGTGAATTGTAAACATTTCATTGATTTTTTTTAAATCAGTTTAAGCTGTGTCCATGTCCCTTTAAACGAGGTTACTGAAATCCCTATCTTTGTTTAAAGCATGTTGGGTTATATTGAATCATCATATGAATGAAAGCATGTATTGTTAATTAATTAATATATCATTGATATAATTAAGGGGAAGAAGGACCTTTTGCTGAAAAAAACCTGTCGTTTAATTTTTTTAATATTTTATAGATCTCTTATATAGTATGTCGTACATACCTTAAAGCATACGTATCAATAGGTTTCTAGATTTATTTTTGAGATATTCAGTGACAAATAATATACCCCACAGTGTCTTAGTGGATTTTTAATTCTTTATGTTTCAGGGCCCATTAATCGGTCCATAATGGATTTTTTTCAGTATAGACAAAAAATATGTCAGCTAACATGTGTCTTTTAAAATATTTCAGAGTATGAATAAGGTTAAAAATTCGAAAAATCAATATTCATTGTCACACCGCATCTGGAGATGGAAAATTACGTACTTTTTAAGACAACTTCAAAATTTTAAAAAATTCTATCATTTAATATTTGAAAATTTACGTTGAAATACAAAATCGTCATGTTATGGATTAGCTTTAAAGTATCGATTGGTGAAGCTGAGCTCAATATTCCACAGGACATAGTTAAACAAGACATGAGCTTGAGAGAAACTTGTCATGTTTACATTTCTTGAGTACGGGAAAAACCCAAGTATGACGTCACACTTTTGCGAAATAAGCGAAATAAAACATATCTACAAAATATTTCCGTCAATAACCATGTAAAAATATTTTTTGGGCTCTCTAATTTTCAAAATACCCCATTATGTACTGATCATGACCCGTTTTTATGATAATACTATCCGCAATTTACCGTGTATAATCTTAATGTACTGAGAGATCCACTGTGACGTCAACTTCGACGTCAACGACTCGTTGGACGCGCAGTGTAGTTAAACAGAAGAGTGTATAAATCGTTCCCGTAATTTGATAATATTTGCAAGAAAGTTTGTATGTTTTTAGATATTTTTATACAAGATGGTTAACTCAAATAAACAGTCAAAAAATTATACAAGTAATGTTGTTTCAATCTCGTTTTGTACATGTTTTATCAGGGATTATGACGCAATTAAACTGAGTCATGTGACCAAACATCCTTCGTCTCCTTAAATGTCGAGTTGAAAGACACAGCAAGTGTCTGCTCCTAGATATATTTTTAATAGTTTCATGAAATTTTTCAGGGACATTACTATTTAGACCATAAATATGCAAGTAAATAGAAGATAACCATGGCCTCCAAACCTTTGTCAAAGCATCAACAGAATTTTGTACAACTTGGAATAGTCTGCGTGGACGAGATAAAACTAGTGCTTAAGAATATTTTTGAAAGTCAAATAAAACCAACAGATCTCTACTACGTCATTAATTCATGTTCAGAACTCACAACTGGTAGACACAAATTGAGGCCTGAGCAGCTGAGACTTTGTAGCCTTTCCCCGCCTCAGATTCCTGACTATGATCAATTTGATGTTTCCTTACTTTACACACTGATAAGAAATCTTTGTCCAAACTTAAAACCAACAAAAGGATGGGGAAAGACACCGGATAGTACGGATACAAAAATAGGAGATGACATTGAGCGTCTTAGAATATTCAGAAACGATATGTTTGCGCATGTAGAATCTTCAGAAGTTCCTGATCCTGTGTTCCTGCAATGCTGGAATGATCTGAAAGGAAATATTCACAGAGCACAGAAGTTTGTGACTTTACTTGGGTATAAGGTTAACTATGAGGAGAAACTCGCAAATATTGAAAATTTTGATTTTGGTCGCGGTGCTATGGAAAAATACAAATTACTTTTGGAAGGAATGATGATTTTGTGGAAGCAATCCCAAATAACAGGTAAGTATTACATTATTCATGTTGTATTGTCTAAATTTAACTATATATTGATCTAATTTTTGAAAATTTTTACTTAGATATTCCAATGATTAGAATAAATGGAAATAAGAAAATTCTTTGTGAAGAAAAAGCATGCTTTGAAGCTGAAACGGAAAATTTTCTTGACACCGATAACTGGCCAATTAAATGGATAAAAGTGAGAGGGGACACAACAAAGACAATTGACATTAGCAAGGAAAAGTACAATGGGAGTACTAGTAGAAGACTTGTGATAAGTAAGGTTTTGAAAAAAGACCAGGGTGAATATCAGGCAGTGATTTCACGAGAAATAGACAGAAGGCATGTAAAAATCGAAAGTAACACACTTTTCCTAGAAGTCATAGGAGGTATAAAGCACATTACTTTACTCTTTTTGTTGTTCTTTCATCAGCCAAACTAATTGAACAATTTTATCCAATCAGGACAGGATGTTTAAAACATTAGCACTTAAGGACAGATGATACAAACAATTTTTTTCTTTGAAAAAGATTTAATGTCATGTCACAAGTTTAGAAAAGTGGATAATTCTTAGAATATTTTCTCCTAAGAACTGGAAAATGAAATAGACTAGGAAAATATTAGTAATATTTCAATGGAAAATCACATTTAGGAAAGGTCTACAGGTAAAAACAAATTTCAGAATATGTTGCCTTGGTGCTTAAAATTGTTATATGAACTTTAGAAAAATATACCAAGCCAGGTGAATTTTAAGAGGCGGAACAAAATGACAAAAAAATTAGCAATATCACATAGGCTGATTTTTATAATTTAGCTTTTCCTAATTAAATTCACCTGGCTTGGTATATTTTTTTTAAGTTTATATAACACTTTTAGCACCAAGATAACATATTCTGAAATTTGTTTACACCTGTAAACCTTTAGTGAATGTGATTTGTCTCTATTTGTTTTTTCATTGAAATATTATAATATTTTCCAAGTGTATTTCATATTCCAGTTCTTTGGAGAAAAAAAATCTAAGAACCATCCAATTTTCTAAACTTGTGACTTGATATTAAATCTTTTTCAAAGAAAAAATTTGTTTGTATCATCTGTCCTTAACAGTTAACTGATGATAACTGTCAATGCTATAAAAGGCGTAATTAAGTAAATCATTCAATGTCCATTCATTTTATTGCATTTCAAACATTTTAACATTCTTTATCACGAAACATCTCATATTTTTTGGACCCGTTTGGTCTATTTGTATGGTATGCAAAAAATTGAAGTTTTCCCCCTAGTTTTCCTTATTGCTATCCCGCAGGCATTATACTAGCATAACGGAAAACTGGAATATGTTTTATTTGTATCTGCAAAATCATTTCTGATAAATATCACAAAAATTTGCTTTATTAAATCGTAAAAATATTATTCTATAGATCTACCAAATCTAGAGATAAACCGGGCAATGTCATGGAAAGACAGTATTACCATTTTTTACAACTGTAATGCTGAAAAGGTAGTTCCTAGTTTAAAGAAAATCGAGTGGAGCAAAAATGGAAAATGTTTTAGGACAAAATTAAACAAATATAGAGGAGGCGGTGTTACAGACACATATCTGAAAATCCTTTCTTCATCAGAGAACGACAGTGGTGAATACAAGTGTGAAGTTTCCAATGCTGTAGGATCAGTTTCGAAGGTCATTTTTCTAGGTATAGTAAATATACACTATCTATTTAATACCTACAAGTTTATACATCATTAAAGCAATTAAATCAGTTACATTATTTATGTCAAAATAAGATTTAAATTAAATATTTTTTTAAGTTTCACATGCAGTATCGATATTCATCTCTTGAGATGAAAATGAAAGAAAAAACAACTTTCCAACTTATAAAATTTCCTATATATTTTTTCTAGATGCTCCATTTGTAAAAATTGGCAAAGATCTGACTGTTGAAAATTGCCAGATACTGACGGCTACATTTGGTGATCAAGTCACAATTAGTGCTATTGTCAAATCTTGTCCTTCTCCGATAAAAGCAATTTGGCAAAAAAGCAAAGATCAAACTCCTGATAATTTTATGACCGTTGACATCGATCACGCCCGATATTTTGGAAGCAGTTTGGAGCCAGCGAAACCTATTTTAGTAATAACGAAGGCATCAGATGCTGACAAAGTATATTACCGACTAGAAGTTACAAATGGAATTGGAAAATCTATAAGCAATAATGTTTTGCTGAAATTAGTCGGTGGTACGTAGGAAACAACTTCAAAGATTGAAATTCCTGATACGTATAGTACAATTTTAAATTGATGAAAATTTTATATTTTTGCCATAAATTATGGCTATTTGAATTTCAAAATGATTTATAGCTTCTGAACTTTTAATAAAACAATTGAAAAGATCAACAGATTTACACCTTGTTTGGCATCTGTCTGACTGTTTCTTTATCAACGGTATGATTCTTTTAGATTTGAGAGCGCTTTCAACATGACCTGAGCCAAAACCTGTACTATTTGAAAGCATCTTGTTTCTCATAAACTTGACGTTTATCTATGTTTTTGTTATTACAGATCTTCCTTCTGTGTCCACGCATTCTAAGACTGATTTTTTAAATCAGAGCGTTATATTTTCATGTGATATCTTCCTTTCGGACTATTCCACATATGTAACAGATGTAGTTTGGACGAAAGACGAAGAAAAAATTGACATCGCAAGTAGTGGTGGAAAATATGACGGAGGAAACCTTGCCAATCCTTTACTTGTAATAAACAAAGGGAATATTACCAATGTTGTGTTACAAATGCTGTCGGGTCTATGTGCAGTAATTCAATTAATGTGGGTAAGTAAGCAGTCTTTGTACAAAATATTTACCAACCGTAAGATGAAATAAAATTAAAAAAAAGATTAATTAAATTTAACGTTATTATTTTCACATTTATTAATTTATTCAAATTTTAATTTATTTAATTGAATGAAAAAAACAACATTTTTATTGAAATATAATGAACCTGAATGACTATCCTGGATATCCTTTAAAAGTAAATCTCCCGATGTTTTCTATAAAATATTTCTTCATTTATGGCTGATATGATTTTATAAATAAATATGAATTTCTTTCAATGTGTATCGATAACGATTATCTGATAATGACTAATGTCCACATAATTGTTTCTCACTTTCATTTTCGATGACCATGTTGAATTTTTAGAGGGTTATTTTCTGAAATCTAGCATCATGAAAGATACGCCCCATTGCAAAATT